CACTCTTTCTTAAATTCAAAATAAAGGGCAGTCTCTGATCCAAGAACAAAATTCTTGGCAGATAATCTTCAACACTACTAATCAAAAAATTACTCTTTTTTCCTCTTTTTTAAACTGAATGTTGTTGGATTTTGGTTGGTTAGTTTAAAATTTTAACATTTAACATTTTGGTGTGGTTTTTTTACTAATCTTGTTCCCTAATATCTTTGTTCAAACTTAAAGTAATCCATCCCAAGGCAGAAAATACATTAGAAAATTTAAATTGAAATTTTAATGGCAATCTAAAATTTTCGAGCAGATAAACAAGGGTACACACGTCCACATTGGACCATCTTTTTATAACTACGGATATCTTTCAACTCTATCACAAAGCAATGGGGGTTTTTCTATTCGTTTTCTATTACATAAATCAGATGTTTTTAAAAATCTTTTAAAACCTGTGTCATCCACACTGGCCAGCAATTTTGAGTAGATGAGTTGCACATTTCTGTATTCAACCCCAACTAAATTAAGTAAATAGTTGAGCTACCTGATGTTCCCCAAGCACTGTCTCTCCACTGATCTCCCAGAAATATCCCTTTTGGTCCATCTTTGCTGGAATCATCAGATTCCCAAAACTTTTTACCCGGCAACAGCTGCTGCAATTAAAAAACAAAACAAAACATAACAAAACAAAGCATGATTAAAATAAGTATAAAATGCAAACATAAACCATAAGCGTCTCGCTTCTAAACATGAATCAATCATTAAACACAAACTGATACATGCTTGATAATCAAAATATTTATACACTCCTAGGGCGAAAGCCATACAGCAACTGAGATAATGATTCAGTCTCAGCAATCCTCTTACATTCTTAAATGCTTTATGAACCCCACACACGTAAGCACACACATACAATTTACATTCTCCAGCCTCTCAGCACGACAGCTACTTGCAGGAAAAATACGAGCAGAGAAAACTCTTCTGATCGGAACATTATCGTGACTTCCACCTGAGCTGTGAGGACACCTCTCAAACTACCCAGCATTTCCAGCACCAACTCTTGCCTTCCCATACCGAGGTTCTGATGCTGGCAGGGACAGAATAGCTCAAGAGGTGCCAAGAGCTCTCACTTCTCACTTATTTAATGACTGCAGAGGACTCTCCACGCTAGGAAGGTTATTTGTAAACACTAATAGGAGTGAACAGTTCTGGGCCACCGCACCTGCCCCGCGTGTATTGTTCCTACTGGATGAAAAGAATAAAAAAGGTTATGCGCTTATTGAGAATGAGACAGAAAGTCATCCTCGGCTTGAATGAATCCAAGGAAAATTGTTCTGAAGTTCAGAAGATGGCAGAAAAAAATAGTGTGCCCTATTTAGCAGATGTATTTTGAAAATACCGGTTTCACCGAAGAAACACCTGCCGCGTGGCATCTACATATGGCAAGGGGAATTTCCAGCCCTGCTTAAGTGCCTTAGATGTCAAGCATACAATCTCCAAATTAAATCTTCAGGCTGAATGAAACCTATGCAACTCAGACAGGAAACAACAGTACATTCACAGCAAATTACCCAAACGAATGAGCCTTGCCTGCTGAAGTTGGAATAAAACTGAAGGAACTGGAAGCTTAACAAGTACTTGCATCTGTTGGAAATTACCGTAGAACAAACAAGAATCATCAGATTAGTCGGTGTCTCCTGTCTATCAGAAGTGTTGATAACTCTATACTCCACCAGCAGACGTGCAAATTTAAGGCTATGGCAGAACAGCGTAGGGAGGCTGCTGGAGGAAGATAAGCATGCACATATGATTTCAGAGCTCCCAGCTTGCAGTACACCCAGGCTTAGGACAGAGAAGCAGAAAAGTCGTGCTCACCATTTACTTTTTAACTTAAGGAAGATCTGTTTACTCAGAAATGTATCGTGAAGCAGCTCCATGCGTATGAGATTAAACCCGAGGTTCAGATTTGGAGAACCGGACTGATTACACACAAGACAGGTATTATAAAGAAAGCAACATCAATGTTATCCCACACCTGAAAAGTAGAATTTCTTCCAAATTTTCAAAAAAACAAACAACCAAACAAAACCCACCCCACCGCAGATGAGAGTGCAGTTACATTCAGCTCATTAACTAACACTCAAAGCCACTGTTGACTAAAAGTAACCCTGCTTTCGCGGGGAGATCAGTAAAGATCACTCCATGCCCTAAACATGGCAGTTGCCTGCAAGGGAAAAAAAATAAATAAATGCAATCCCCTTGGGAAAAAAAAAACCAAACAACTTGTACAGGCACAAGATGGAGGGCAGGCACAGCATCTGAGCAGACCTGGGAGCAGAAGCATGGCTGCTTCAGGGGCTCCGGGTCAAACCTCAAGCTGTACACAGACAGGCAAGTTTTAGGGCAGCGGATGCACTCCCAGCTCCTCGGCCGCTGCTCTTGCTGATCGTGAGCCCTGAGCAAGAGGTGGCGCAGAGGAATTTTCCAGCTGAACCAAAACTTTTATGCATACACCTGCATATTGTCTCTACAAGCACACAGGAATGTAAAACAAAGCAAACCTCACCTACAGAGGTTGAATCAACATCTTAGACTAACACAGAGCAGGTCAAATTTTAGGATGAGGAGTGCCAGTAACACTCCTCTCGTGCCAGGCACACCAGGAGCTCCAGCACAGAGGTTGTCACTTCCAAACCAGCTGAGATCCTCCTGCAAGGCCGAAGACACCGTGAGTGTGTGTGTGCTATTTGCTGCCACAGTGCTAAAAAAACAAAATTATTTACGGATTGATTGCTCAATTAAATTGCAGTCTTTCTTTTACTGAAAGTACACACTTGTATAACTTACTTCCCCACCCTAACCTCCTCTTCCAACAGCCTTCCTGCTACTAATTCAAAAGCAAAAATCTTCACATTAATTTTCAAACTAAGGATGAGATGAGCTCATCCACCTTCTATGCCTGAGCACGATGCAGCGTGCTCCGAAGACCTTCAAAGGTACATGTGCTTGAACCCTGCCTGGACACACGGACCCCAGCACCTGGGCTGTCCCTCGGGCAGGTACAGAAAGTGTCAGGGACACACAGGACTTGCACCCGCCCTGCTTTACCGTATTCATTCCAGATAAGGATTCTAGAATCACAGAATGCAGAATGGCTTGGGTTGAAAGGGACCTTCAAAAACCATCTAAGCCACCCCTCCTGTGACAAGCACAAACATCTTTTCAGGTTGTCCAAAGCCTCATCCAGCCTGGCCTTGAACCCCTCCAGGGATGGGGCATCCACAGCTTCTCTGGGCACCCTGGGCCACCGCCTCATCACCCTCATGTAAAGAATTTCTTCCTTCTGTCCATGAACTCTCTCAAAAATACAATCAAATATTAATTCAAAATACTGGCTTTGATTATCAGGATTTTTCAGTACAGAAACGCCAAACTTCTGGTTTCGCCAGTTCTTCAGTATTCGGCACACCATCCACACCTACAAACTCCGGATTTTGCACACAGTCTGTCCAAGCAAGACCATTTAATTGTCTGTTTTCTCTACAAGGTATCCCATTCTAGTTTCAATCTTTTTTTCAGCAGCAAGTCATGTCCACCCAGATCTTTCAAAATTTGAAGAATGCATTTTAATCCAAGTGCTAAATTACCTCTGGGTTTTCTTCCTACTGAGAGAACAAGACTCAACTTGTTCTTTTAACTCTCAAACCACTGATTAGAAAACACAGTAGAAAATCCAGTTGTTCCTTCTCTGCAATCAGCACCAGAAGCATCACAAGATATCAGCACGTCACACGCTTTCTAGAAATGTGTTGGTGACTTTAGGATTTATCATTGCATGGAAAACACAGCACAAGACTGCTCAGGATTCTCTCAACTAAATGATAAAAGCAGGAAAACTCATACTGCAATCCCCTCTTACGTAATCCAAAAATAACTCAAGACAACTGTAAAGACAAGTGATTCCCATCAGCAAAGCTCACTTCAAAATACAGCGACCAGCCTGTTCCTGCACCGTGCGGTGAAGTTAAGGAGGTGAAAGCCAAGTCAGGGCTCTCCAGTATTCATCAACAGAAACACGCATCAGGTGTGTTGCCATTTTTTTTAAGCTTCTGTCATTCCCATGTTTCTTAAACTGCAGCTTTTTCACTCCTGCTGTGGCCACCCTGTCAAAAATAACGACTCTCCTCCTCATTCTGTTTCAAATAATTTTGAAGAAGAAAGTGATACAGACTGATTAAACAAAATTTTTGCTGCAACACTTATTTCCTCTGATAATACCTTATAGCATAGAAGGACACAATCTGTTTGGCAGTCACAACTCAAATAAAGCATGAGAAGGGGCATGGGCTTGCAGAAAAGAGACAGGAAAAGTGAGCAGGATATTTTCTTTTCGAAGAAAAAGCAATCTCTAGTTTACAATAAAATTAAACTCCTTTCATAAGCTCTTGAGTTTCCAAAATGTTAATAAGTCTTTCTGATATACACAAGGAAGGAACAGTGAACTCCAAACTTAGGAAATTTATTTCTACTTTAAGGTAAAAGGCAAAATGGAACTTAAGCAGAAAAATGAAGTATAATGCAAACTTAAGAGGAAATCTGCATCCACAAACCAGCACAGAAAAGGGCAGCACAGAGCCCAGCATCTGCCCCTAAGTACAGTCACAGCAACAGGTGATCTCAACATTTTAAAACAGTGGCAAGAAGATTTTTTTGTCTCCACCATTTTAAAATTTGCAAGACGTTTCCATTCACAGGATGGTTTGGGTTAGAAGGGACCTTAAAGCCCACCCAGTGCCACCCCCTGCCATGGGCAGGGACACCTCCCACCAGCCCAGGTTGCCCAAAGCCTCATCCAGCCTGGCCTTGAACCCCTCCAGGGATGGGGCATCCACAAGCAGAGCACCAAGCTGTGTTATGAAGTGGAATACACAGAGCAAGCTTTCCTGTGTATTCTGCTTGCTCATTTAAATAAATATTTCCATTTTCCTGACCATGCACACTGGGTCACCGCCTCAAAAGGCAGCAAGAGCATTTCCCCTGCCTGAAAGGTGACTGGATACTAATTTATCCCTTTATTTAATTTCACCTACCCTCTAGCCCTTTCTTAAATGTCAAAACACATCCACTTACCAACTAGATCCTGAAGAAGTGCACCCAAATACCTTCTTATGGTTTTGCAGTGAATCACAGACAAGGATTAGAAAAAAATTCTAATACTATCTTGTGCACACACACCCCCTTAGTGCAGAAACAATTCTGTCCCCTATACTTTAGTATTTTCCTCCAAAGAAGAATAAAGTTTCCAACTACAAGCTCTGTACCATGTGCAAAACGAAACAGAATAGAAATGTTTCTTTTACATACAGATTTCAGATGAATTTACAGATATTGGAGAGGGGAAAAACCAAAAGGCAACATTAACAGATGGCAATGGGAGGTCCTTCTTCTGTCAAGTACTGCTCCAACCAAACCTAGAGGTTTAGCAAGCATTAATCATCTGCACTGAATTAAGCAAGAGGCCACCAAGACAACAACTTTTTCCTCAGGGAAAGTTGTCAGTTGCAATGCAAAAAAAAAAAAAAAAAGCCAAATAAAATTATTTTAAGTTAATATCATCCAGTTCTTCAGGTTGGAAATTAAAAAAGAACATGCA